GTGCGGCGCACGCTAGGAAGCACGGATGTACCTCGCACAGGTCTTCCTCAGGTTATGTTGCGGGATGGTGCGCTCTCAAGTTTGATGCTTCCCAGTCTCCATCCTCATTATCTACACATAGGCTTGCTCTACTTCGTGTAGGTTCTTCTAAACTTATCAGGCCCACGGAGTCCATGATCATGACGTATGCGGTGGAAAGTGTACTCCTCGTACTGAATGTGGTGCAATTGGTGCTAGCGGTACAGTCTTCCGTAAGTCTAAATGCCGCCCTCTTTGGCAGGTGATGTCCAATTCTCATAAACTATCGAACCCATATAGATGCTTCTCAGCAGCGCAAATTCCCTCGTGTCGACATTCATAACGCCGTAAGTCCTAGTAACACCTTGGGTTCCCATCGACCGTTACAAGTCGTACTAATACATCTCTCTGATTGGTAGGCTTTCCTCAATACTAGTGTCTCATTTCCTTCTCGACCTACAAGCTGCTTATCAGAGGACGCTTGGCATGAGACCCGAAGACCTACCAGGGTCTTTAGGGAGCGTAGGCTCCGAAGCGCTCGACCTCAGAGTTCCTTCCGCTCTTGGTTCGCTGGCCGCCAACATCGACGTGCCTGGTCTAGACATCTCTGACAACTCTGGAGAGGAAGGAGCTATGGGCGGTGGCCAGGCGGTGTGAATCTCGCAGGATAACGAGGCCTCTCCCCATTTCATGTGTTCTGGTCACCACTGAATCATCGACACTAGCCAATCTTGATCCTTCGAATATTGGTACTAGTACATTCGGGCTTCACTCGCACCAAGGTCACATGTTGCTCATCCACTGCGTCTGATTTCCTATGTATTACAAGAATATCGCTCCATCTGTTGCATTCGTAGAGACTACAACGAGGTATGTAAACCTCTGGGATATCGGGCCAGGGAGGTATCAAACCTCCCAAGCCCCTTGCACGTGCTGATACCTTACCAGTGGCCCCAGTGTCGCCCTACCGACCGTCCGTGCGCCCTCCTGTCCCAAGCCCCTTGCACGTGCTGATACCAACATCTTCCCAGTCCTGTCCCGCCCTTGCCCGCCGCGTCACCCTTTGCTCGCCGCGTCACCCGCGGTGCCGCCCCCTGCCGCCGTTCCTGCCGTTGTGCCGCCGTTCCTGCTCCCCCGACAGCCCAGAGGTTTGCAAACCTCCCACCAAACCCCTTACGTGTGCTGACGCCAACCCCTTTGTCAGTGCCGCCCGTCCTTCCTCCACGCTCCTTTCCCACCCTTGCCCACGGCCGCCTTGTCTGCTACCTCCCGCCGCCCGCCCGACCCCCTTTCCCCGCCGCGTTGTCGCGCACATTCCCTGATCCGTACGCGGCCCGCCCTATCGCGCCACCTTTCATCAGCAGGCCATGTGCACATAGCCCTCGTGCCTCCTCGTCTATCATCGCCGGCGGCGGTTCCCATCAACCTGGGCGGCCATTCCCATCACTGGTGGCGTTCAGTATCAACGTGCGCAGTGTCGACACCGGCATCCCTTCCAATGCGCATCGGCCCGTACAAGCTTATGCGGACGTTACCACTGCCCCTGGCGTATTCGTCTTCGCTCTGCTACTTGAGCAGCCCAACATTGAGGAGCGAGAAGCGGTGCCACGGGACAGTTATGAGGCGATCTGATCCGGGGTAACTACGTTGCCCTCTTGTGCGTCATCATGTGTATTATACCTGAATGATCATATCATCCAACGCATACCCGGCTGCGTCATCGTCTGGGAAGGCCGACGGTGGCACAAGCTCTCGGATCAAGATAACAGATGTACGGAACGCCTGTTGACCCATCCTTCCACATCGTATCGTTGTTGTGTAGATATTGATTCCGCTTGGCTATCCATCCCGTTAGACATAGTAGATGAGGTTTCAAATTTACGATGCATTACTTACCCCAAAGCGGCACTCAATGCCACCTTAGTACGTATAGAATGTCTCTGCTGTCCAGCCGTACAAGTTGTGGAGCTCGATTTTCCACCTGTACGCTGACCTTAGACCATTTGGACGACGATGTCGGTAGTTCACTCACCCATCTTGCATGTGATCAGATATCGCTTTTCCCGGTTTGCCACTGCCCTATGGTACCATTCAGAGCACATTTCGCGACGCTGCATTAGAGCCGGTTCACTCACCTTCGCCAGATTGAACAGTTTCCTCCCAATCCGGGGAGGAGGAACTAACTCGTACGCGCCGTGTCTGCCAAACCCAACAGATTTCATAGCCTGTCAATCGTCGTATGAGCCGTAGGTCATGCTAGTCCCGCAACTCCGACCTTCAGGAAGTCCTCCAGCCTCACCGGCCCCCGATGTTCCCCGAAATCACCCAGTATAGACGCGAACACCTGACTTGGTTGTAAGCAAGTGCCGAAGATGTCGCGTTGCAGTTACAGACGTACCTTATAGTCACTCTCGCTCACGTACATAGGCAATTTCATCGCGTGGCCACAAGGCTCCTTTGTCGCCACCAGGAGTTGAAAGATGCAAGCACGAGTACAACAGGGGAAGGTGAATCCGAAGGTTGAGTACAGCAGTCCGCCCTTCAACAACGATAACGACCGCGTCGCGCGCCGTGCGCCGTCCTCCCACCTAGCTCACGCGCACGCCTGCCAACGAGCGCCACTGCACATTAGGCAAACGCACTACTTATTTCGTTGGCCATTCTTGCGGGCAGCGCTCGTCGAAGAGTCTCAGCGCTCCTTCGATTTCCGTTCGCGTTCCCTCATTTGGGCCATTGTTGCGACCCTCTGAATTCGGAAGTAGCATCCTGGTACCTTCCCGTCAGCCTTCATGGCGACATTTGTTCACGCATTCGAATACTCACCTACGCGTCCTTTCTTCTCGGCTTCGTCCCTGATCCCACCGTCTTCTCGTAGGAAAGGCCTCATCGGATGGCGTCGGTCCACGTCTCGGATGGCTCTGTCCAACGCCGTACGTCAGCTGACCGTGCGCACCCCGCCTGGCCCGACACGGTTGCTTTTTGGTCAAAACTTCGGGCACGCGATGATTCCCTGCACTGCCACCTCCGCCCTCCAGGCACGGCCACTGCATTGCGATCATTCCCATCTCTCATCCATTGTTGATGTCACACGTAGTCTTCGAGAAGTGTCGAGCGTCAGTTCAAAACCTGTGATATCCGTCATAGTACACGCTGGCGACACTCCACGGGCATTAGGATGAGTACAATAGCTGACAATGTTCACCCTGCAATGTGTCATATGTTGGAAGATAACAAACAAGCTATTTGACGATCAGCACGCCGTGACCGATATCAGATGCTCACCAAGGATCTCTCCACGGGGCCCAGCCAACGAGGTTCCACCGCCTGAAGCGCGATCTCGTGGTCATCCGCCACCGCGTTCGGGTGCATCACCACGTTGTTGATGCGCAGCCGTGTTGTCTATCCAACTGTCCACACACAAATCTGCTGTTCCTAGGGCACAGTACACCTTCGCTCAACAGTCTTCATCAGGACAACTGTAAGGGCCTCACAGCAACGAAACCGCGTCATCTATGCGTTCAAAACGACATGGCTATCAATGATACCGACATCTACTATGCAGTCCAGTCACCCTACCCGGCGGGGTCAATGCGCTTGTTTGCAGGGATTCCGACGGCCTGAACTCTGTTAATATGAGTCCGCTTGCGTCGAAAAGGCACTCACTTCGTAGATGACGTCGGGGAACTTTGTCTCGGCCCGAGCGGCCAGCCGCTGATAACGATAAGCCTGTCTGTGTGCGCAGTTGTTCAGATACTAGGTCTGTACTGGCAAAGGAGGGTGCTATTGCCCCGACGTACCTTCTCGCATAAGCCGCGCTACCAAGACGCCCGACCTTCTCCCGATCGTCCGCCCTCGTGAGCCACTTCGCGCGATCTCTACGATACGAACGCAGAGTTCGATACATCTCCTCGCGACGCGTCCTTACAGCCTCCTTCCAGCGCCCAACAAGAGCGCCATGCCGGAACCAGTGCGCCTTGAGGCCTACACATCATTTGTCAGTGCTTGCGTCTGCATTCGATATAAATAGAAACCCTACTGTCGTCGAGGAACTGACGAATGTCACCATTCCTGACTTGGAGGACGTAGCTGAAGTCACCCCAAATCCAGCTCGGCAGACGGTGACTGTCACCTCGCTGCCGCTCGGCGTCGGTGATCACGAACGCCGAACAATCGCTGTCCTTGAGCGGCTTGAACTTCGCATCGTCTTCGGGCATGCCGAGAATGCGCAGGAGATGCCGGTTCTTCCGATACTCGTACTTCGCTCTGTCCGTGGCCTCCCTCTTCTCCGCGATGCGTTGGTCAACGTTCGTATTGTTGATGACCCCAGAAACCTGAGTCTTCCGGAGTTGCAGGGCCTTGTATGTGGTGAGATGCAGCCGCAGCCGATCGAGGGCCTCAGCCGCAAGGCCTTCCCGGAGCTTTCTCTCAGTCGCGACCGCGACCTTCATGCCGACATGGTCCCGGATAAGTCGGTGGTATGCAGAGGGAAGCAGTATCGCGGGTTCCTGCAGCTCCGCCGCCATCGCTTGCAATGCCTTCTGGGCGCGCGATAAACACTTCCGCTTTTTGCCTCCCTGCGCAACCTCATGCGAGGGCGGCTTGTCAGTAAACGGCGCGATCTTTTCCGCGAGGTCGTCCGACGGTATGCGGCGAGGGAACGTCGGAGGTAGCACTTGGCAGGACGTCTGTGCATCCATGACAGCCTTGGCGACAGCAGGCACAAGCAGTATGTGGCACTCGTCCTGGCATATTCGAGCGTCGCGACGATAGTGCTCCAATTTCGCGCCGATGGCCTTACTGTCTTTGTCGGTGCCATCGCAACTGTTGATCTTGCGCAGCAAAGCCAAGCTGCGTACCATGAATGCGGACTCATTCGCCGTAGAACGTGCAAGACTCACCGTCGATTGTCGAGATGTAGGGCCGCTTCCATGGCGGACACCGTTGCGACCCCGTACCGGTTGCCGTCCCTTTCGTGTTCATCATGGAGCTGGTTGACGATCATCTTCGTAGTGAGAGCTACCGAGCACAGTCAGCACACGTCCCACGGTGACGGATGAAGTACGTACACGCCTCGGAGGCAATCTCAAACGGGTTGCTCATGTGTGCATGGTTCTTCGGATCGACGACGTCGACTTCCCACTGTGCGAGCTCCTTTTGCCAAATGGAAACGAGTTCGCTGTCGTCGATGGACTTCTCCACAGACTCTAGGTAGGTTTTCGCGTCCTCTAGGCGTCGTTCAGCGACTTCATGCTTGTCGCAGAGATGATCAACTGGCGCATTGCATTAGTATGGCTATTCATCGTCACTTTCGATTCACTTACCCATGCCGTGTACGAGCTGCGCATTCTCGTCGCTGTTCAAGTCATTCATGATGTCATGCCGGTGGCCAGCCGACATCTCCTTCGTCGCAGCAGTCGCACCCTCGATTTGGGCCCACTTCTGCTCCGCATTTTCCCCAAAGTCGTCTCCAACGCCTGGAAGTTTGTGGAGAGAGTTGAACGGGCGGCACTCCGCTGTGTGCATGGGTTCATGGTACTTCCCGATGCCCGCGACAAACTTCTCAGGGAGACGAGCGGAGTCGATCGACTTGAAATCCTTGACCTTCTCGGGGGAGAACTGATCCTCGATCCGACGTGGGAGCTTGACAACGTACTGACATGCAATGTCGTACATCATCACCATCATCCGGAGGTCGCGATAGCGTTGCATGGCGGACACGAATGCAAAGTCCGTGTAGAGGAACCTGCGGGCTTTGTCAACCTCATGTGAGATGGACGTCGTCAGGAGTACTCACTTCTCTCCCTTGGTGAGATCGACGATACCCCCTTGTAGAACGAAGTTGTGACGGCATACCAAGGCGATGATTCCTGACACTGGGCCCTTGTACTTGCCCGCTCCCATAGCAACGAACTGACTGCACTTCGAAGGCTGAGGTGGTATGTCAACCACTGCACGCGGACCACAACAGCAATACTGGCGCTCACTTCATTAGGATACGGCTTCGTTGTGGCGATGTATGCCTTGAAGTCGTCCTCATGGGCAAAGTATGCGGCGCCCTTCGTCAGTGGAAAGTCTTTGGGATCGGTATGCTTCGGCTTGAGGTTAAAATGAAAGTTTCCGTCGATGCAGAAATGTAGCGCGTCCATGTGCCTGTATGCGGTGCAAGTGAGTAAGGGTGAGCGGCGACATGAACGTGATATCAACTTACGCAAATTCCTCGTCGCGGCCCTCCCAACCTGGACGCATGTTGTGGCCAGGCTGCGGACACGCAGGACATGTCACCGCTAGACATCCGATGGGGAGATCACTGCATGGATCAACGCCCGCGCGTCTGCAGGCGCGCACGAAACCGTACGTCCGGATTGCGATTCTGAACTCGCGAACTCGATCCTGATACGTGGTTCAGGAAGCGGCACCCTGAGTTAAAGCTACAACCCACCTTCACGTCGACAGTTATCACCCCATCCGAGAGCCGTTCCAAGTGAGCGACAAAGTCGTGTGCGTTGGTGTGGGCGTTGTGACTCAGGCTGTGGAAGGTCTTCAGTGCGGCCAGGGTGATCGCGCTCCGCGGCTTCTCCCAGGTGGCTGGCCATAAGCCGGCCTCCATGAGTTGAGAGGGATCCGGAGGAGCGTCCATGCAAGCACAGTACACGACGGGCACACTCTCGATCCCGTGCTCGTGCACGACAACGATGTCTCGCCCCTCGGATGTAGCTGAGGGACAGCGATAGCCACCGTGGTGCAGTGCCATTTGGTATCCGATGTCGCCCAACTTGACACGCAACCAACACCCCTTCTCCGCGACCCAGGAATGTATACGGTGAAACGGATGTTCGCGATGCGAGGTGAGGATGCAGTCGATGCATTTCCGAACGGGTGTAAAGCAGTCTTCGCAGTAGTAGAGCGTGCGGCGATTCTGGGCCTTCGAAGCTACTGTCGCGTGGCATACTGGGCAGGCGTCACCCAGGGGTGGCGTTTCGCGTTCATCGAGGAGGTCCCTAGCGAGAATGGCGTAACCGAAATCGAGGAATTTGTGGCAGCGCGTTGAAGGCTAAGAGATGCCTTAGATCGCGAAGTAGCTGAAAGCGATGATATACTTACGTGGTGGTAATTGCCATGGACTCCATCCTGATCGTCGACGTCGTCATCATCCAAACGCGAGTCGATAGAGTCCGCGTCCCCGTCCTGAACGGTGGGTTGGTGGTCGGGCGATGTGTCGAGGGTGGTCGTTTCAGTCGGTGTGTGGTCGGAAGGCGTCGGGACAGATGCTGCGAGAGGAACCGAGGGTGCAACAAAGTCGCAGCAAGGCGCGACCTCGCTAAGCGGCGGATGTCCGGGGGATGACGCGGGTTGTGATCGCGAGGTCGCGGGGGCGGATGCCTTAGGGCGGGGTGACAGAGCGGCAGCGAGGAAACCGATGAGAGCGGGCAGGGGCTGAGAGTGGCCGCAGTCAGCACGGCCCTGGGGACGACGCGGAGTATGCCATTGCCACCCCCGTGTGTCCTTCTTGGTGGGAGTCGAGGGCGCCGCCGTCGCAGGCTTCTGCACACGCTTCGAGGTGAGCACATCAGTGACGCGTTTGAGTTTCTTCTTGACCGTGCCGCTGCCCATCTTGAACGACAGGCCGAAGCGAGATCGCGACGCGAGTGGGGTTGGAACTTAGGGAGACGATACGAGTATTGGGGAGTGGGGAACACAGGAGTTCGACGGCTCCTTGCAGCTCTTGTCCCGTCCGTGATTCCGCCACATATCAACACCAGGGGCTATTCTGATGGACAGCATCCTCAGTATCTCTGTCGCGATCGGCGGCATGTGCGCGAGCGCGCACACACAGGTTCCAACGGGCATGTACTGTTTTGGCGTGGCGGTATCGCGATCCCGATTCGGTCGTGGGGATGGTGGGATGCTAGTGCCTTCCAATAAAGACGACGAATAAATGCGTAAATCTTGAAACGCACCCAGATCTCCCCAAGCCCTTAATTCATCAAGTATCATCTCCAGTCGATCCCTCAATTACTGGCGTGCCTTCTAAGAACGCGTTGTCAGCCAGGTCCAAGGGCCGTGACCCCACCACTCACTGAATATGTTCGGCGGTCTAACTGCCGTCGTTCGTGCGATAGCCCACACCATCGGCACCTCGGTAGCTGCAATCCCTTTGGTGGGGCCCAGACCGAGGCTGCTGGCAAGAGCTGATCCAGTCGATGGAATATCCTGAGATGACGTCGCCCGATAGGGAATCCACGATTTCTTCCGAGGCTTGATGGTGCTGTTCTCGCGTTGTAGAGTTCGACAGGATTCCGGCTAGCGATGTCCTCAAGTAGTACGGGAGGACTCAACCGCTGGCTTTCCAGACGGGATCCTACCCCTACACCGAGCCATAACCGCAGCATTGAGCCGGCGGCAAGGATTGGCCAGGTGTTCTGCGTAAAGAAATATCAGTTTTCGATATACGGGAGCTTACCGTGCGCAAGCATGGGCAGTACAACCAAGTTTCCCTCAGGAAAATAGACTGCATGTAGTCAAGCGAAGAGGTAGCAGGGTGTCAAAGGTTAGACAACTGACGTGCCAGCACTCGACGCCGTAGTTGCAGTGTTTGTGTCGGTAGGCGCTCAAGACCTCCCGCGCACGGGCATTGGAGTTCTAGGGCTATTCCTGGATGACAGTCCCATGCACTTATCGAATATATGTATAGCTTCTCGGCCGCCGTCTCGGTATTTTTCTTGATTGAATGTCCTGAGAAAAATGTAATCATAATGGCCTCTACATTCGGGCCGCTGTGCGAGCATTCTCCATCTGAGTGCATCCGACCAGCGCGAGCGAGCAGGAGGTCTCAGCACCCTGTTGTAATACGGATACCATTCGAGTGTTGTACTTCGGCTTATGGAATGCTGCAGAGACTATCTTCGCTGAGCTCTGCTTGCTACATGCGATCTCTCGAGCCCTAAATTTTGGCAAAGTACTGGACCACCACAGCCAGATCTACTTGTGCACTGTAGGTACGCCATTGACAATCTCTTGAGGTACTGAGTCTCACAGTCCCCCACGGATTCCCATGTGACGTAGTTCAGAAGTATAGCAATAGAGGGCATCAAACCCAACTATACTAAACATGGTTACTCGGCATAGACAATGAGCATACGTGGAAGTGATTATATCAAACCCAAATGTGTCACATAACACGAGGACATTACGAGATAAATCCTAGTAAACCGCGACATTGTGTCCGTCCTTACTCTGTAGTGGGCATGCCGACTTTCCAAGATGTGTTATGTTCAGATATGCACAATTCGGTCAAATTAGGTTAAGTTCAGATGTGCACGTTTAGTTCAGATGAGTTGACTAACGGGACTCCCAACTAGACACATGGCGGAGCTGTACTCATGGAATACTTGAATAGCTATCACTAGGCGCGCATGCTAGTAAATGACTTGGTGGCCCTAATAGCATGGTCAATATTGCCTCTCCCATGGGGGCCAATGCTCGTAACAGTGACTACTCTTCTCAAGCTGCCAGTCATATGTTCCCTGACAACAGAGCAGGAAAGACGATTGAATTCCATCTGACATATCCTCGTACTGTGTCAATGCATTATTGATGAAGTACACACGATCTCCATTCCGGTCCCAGGCGCTTCGACATGAGCTGCGGCGTTGAGTATGTGCTGACAACAGGCGATCACCAGGCGCCAAACGCCCTCTCCCTGCCAGCATTTGCTTCCGCGATCCTCTCCAGCATCCCCCTCGCCTACCGATCATCCCGATTGTCTCGATCGTTTGGCCATCGGCCTCTCCCCACTCCCCGGTCGTATCGTCGCCTTCCTCACCGTCTCGGATCCGGTGAGTATCTGTCGCCTAATGAAGTTGACAATCCTCTGACCGCGACCTGTGTGGCTGCAGTGGCTCTGTTGTGGCGCATTCGAACCTCAAGACCAACAGAAGGACAGTGCCGTGTTCACACTCGCTGTTCCCTGTTGGCTGGCCTGTCCTCGACAACCTCGGTGATAGCAGGGCATAATTGCCGGCGGTAACCAGGTCTCGACACGTTCCCTGGCCCCCACTGGACTCCTCTCGGACGTTCCTCTCAGGCCCGACGTTCAGCAAGCACCCATCCAGGCCTCTCCGGCAATTACATGATCATCTCGCAGTGCAAGTAACAAGGTATTACATTGAGGTGAACGGTCACCACCCCGATTGTGTGTCACTTGGTTGACCGGTCCATTGCGCGTTAGGAAATGTCACAGTACGACGAAACATCTACTTCCCCGCGCCCCAAGTTCCCGAAGTTTCATAAGAAAACTCGCGCACCGCCTTCGCCGACTGCAGAGGTCGAGAGCGTACCCCTTCCCGAACGTGTCACCGCGTCGTCATCACCCACCCCAGAGGGCCAGTCCCCTGTCAACCACAGGTGAGCTGTCGTTCCACGTTCTACGTACCACGTTCCTTTATCTGACGTACAATTCAGTTTATTAGCATCCCCGAGTCGCCCGATTCGGCCTGGTGACCCCATTCCTGTGTTGAAAAAAAACAGATTTGGGACACGTGAGTTATTGGATCGTAGCACCAAGTGACATCCTCACAATCTGTCGTAGCTCCCGACGTCTGTGGTCCCTGGGAAGGCAAGGTAG